AAAAAAAAAAAAAAAAAAAAAAAAAAAAAAAAAAAAAAAAAAAAAAAAAAAAAAAAAAAGCACTCATACAAGATAAATGCTTAGTGTCACATCCCATTGAGAGAAAGTAAGTTGTGGCCCTCAATTGGCACTCATCTGACCACGTGAGGGTCAAGATTGAGAAGTGTCATGATGCAATCGAGGACGGTGCATCATTCAAAACATCAAGAGCGTATATTGAAGCTAAGTTGAGGCCTATGCAAAGTTTGAGAGAACGAGGCGACACAAGTGTCGAAGACAAGCTTGAAGAGGACTAGGTAGGGCCCCGGGTCATAACCTCAGAAGTTGGGTTTTTGATATGAGTTTCAACATGCGGCTCGAGAATTAAGTCGGTTGATATGGAAAATGAAAGCTCACCAAAATTGGTGTCAATCGAATACTTGACGGACTATACACGAGGCCGTATGTTCGCTTGCCAGAATGACGTCCACTCAAGAAGGAATGGAAATGCCTCAAAATGTACTGTAGGGGGAGACATAGTGTTCACTCTTCACCACCCTTGGGCCTTGTGGCCTAAGCATGCTACCCTGTGGCACGTATGTATGTCATAGCGTGGGTGAGTGTCTCGGGCAGCTTCCTTTGAAAAGGGTCTTTCAAGGACAGTACCAGACAGCACGGGTGTGTCGGTATTGTGCCCCAACCCATGTGTTGGAGGTTGGATTAGGCACTTGCTATCTGGAACGTATGCCCGTAAATGATTTAGCATGGACATAGTAGAGTCCAATGCTCGAGAGAACCCGAATGGATGGAAGTTCGGGATATCCCGACGAGATGATCCACACATGGGTCAGTTCCCAATGATGTGCCCGAGCAAGCCAGGATGGCGAGGTTTCCCGAGAATCGGGATGACATCACGATGCATGAGTAGTGTTGTTGGGAACTAAGGTGACGATGAGATGCAATGTTGCTGTGTCAAAGACGATTGAAGATGCATGCGTAGACGGCGTAGTATGGCCGAACAAGCTTGGATTCTGCACAAGTGATGTTCGGTTGGCCAAGATAAATCTCGCCTAAGTTCCGTCGAAGCCAGGCGAAAATGTGAATGGGGCTTGAGTTCCCTTTAAGGCTTGTCACGAGCGTGTCAAGATCATGATCGTATCAAGATCATGATGCAAAAGTAGCAGACAATTACAAAAATCCTTGAAAATAATGAAAATTGATGACCAAATAAAAATGTGATATACAGGAATGAAACCTCTTCTCAATCTCTCAAAATCTTTAAAAATCCTATTGTTTCTCTCTATGGAAAGGCTTCTAAAAAAGTCCTATTGCTTCTCTCTATGGAAAGGCTTCTAAGAGTTGCAAAAAGAAAGCCAGCCTGCTAAATGGCGGATTTCCAAAGACCTCCATCTGAACTAAATGAGACGGCCTTTTGTACAAGCAATGATAAAAAAGTTGGTCTTCCTAGGATTGCCTCCTAAAACCTACCCTAATCTAGCAAAAAGGGTAAGAGGAATATAGCTAAAGAATCAAACGTTGTTAGCTGCAGTTTATTCCTATAACAGAACCCAAGTATCTTCGATCCCGATTCAAGCAAGATTTTCTTTTTCTAATTGAGGCTGGGCTGACTCACTAGTAAATTTTGAGTATGAAAATGCAGTCGAGCTGCTTCTGTAATAAGCAGTAAATAAAGAAAAGAGAAAAGAAACATGTTGCATGGATAACTTCACCAAAAGAAGCCGGAATCTTATTAAATACGGGATACGGAAGCATATGGATGGGTTCGGATCAATATGGAATTATTACCCTATGCCCATTCTATCTTTTCACCCAGCTTGATTATAGTAAGCATAATTAATCAATGCAATTTTAAAAAAAAATTTGTTTATTCCTCCGTCTCATATAGATTTCATAATTATATGAATTTATTCTATAAAGTATGAGACTCAATGGAGCTATTTCACAAATAATCTCTCATGAATTTATTGACTTGGAATTATTACTCAACACCCATTTTATCTTTTCACCCTGCTTGATTATAGTAGGCATAATTAATCAATGCGATTTTTAAAAAAATTGTTTATTCCTCCGTCTCATATAGATTTCATAATTATATGAATTTATTCTATAAAGGATATGAGACTCAATGGAGCTATTTCACAAATAATCTCTCATGAATTTATTGACTTGGGCGTTTTTTTTTGGGGGAGTTACCTTTAGCCATTATTTTTCACGTCCATTTTGCAGGAATATTTGGCATGAACTTACGATCATACCTTGAAGAACACGTGGTACGTTCTCTAAAAGCCAATTTATAAACAATGTTCAAATTCATGCAACATCGTTAATTGTCTCGATTTTGTGTGTTGTAAATTTGACGTACTTGATATGATGCATGCAGTTTGCCTTCTGGTTAACAACAGCTGGGATAATTGTTGGCGCTGTTGTGGCATTCTTTCTCATGTATTCGTATCTCAGAGATAGGAGAATCCTGTAGCTAAATACTTCTTCAGGTATGATTTTCCCACTAATTTTTCATACTCACCACAAATCTCTTTTATTCCTTCATTTACCGTACTATAAATATGAAAGTTTGTAGGGTATAATAGAATTTAAGCTTTTAATCAAATTACATGTGTGTATTTTAACAACAAAATCTAATCTCATAAGTCTGCACAGGTTATTCAACATTCAATATTGGAGGGGCTGTTATATCCCACTGATGGGGAAGCAAATTGTTAAGGGTATGGCTATATATCCATTATGTGTATCATATGAATATTCATTTTTCTCATATAATATGATATGGTGGAAGCTGCATTTATTAGGCTATAGCCCAATATTGGTACCATCCCCATACTGCTTCAGTTTGGTTTATGAAACAAAAGGAAGTATGCTCGGTTAGCCTGGTTTCTCTTAAATCGACTCTTAAGATGGTAATTAATGTCTTATTTACTGAGGTATGCTCATTTCAATTAGCCTTCAACATTCATTTATTGTCTTGAAATGATAAAACTAATCAACATTTGAGAATCTTTAATATCTATATTTTTAAATTTGTTTAATGTATTAGATTGAAAGTGCATTGAGATCTCTTTGTTTTCATGCTTTAGTTTAGAAAATAATTGAGTGAATGTAATGTATATTTGTATAACTCAAAATTAATTGAAACATATATCTTAAATCTTGATGATTTATTCTTGTCTCTTGGTAATTTGGTATGAATTATCATGAATTTAGGGATGATTTAGTATTTAAAATTCTATATGTCATGAGGGTTGGTATATATAAAGTCAAGCATCTGGCAGAGTTGATACTTAATCAATTCAGACCATTATTTTAGTAAGTCAATAAGTAAAATAATTGTTCTAAAAAGAAGTAAATAGTTAAATAAAAATTTGTTATAGAACTTATAAAAAAAATATATCAAGAAAGGTAGTTTTTAAGTTCTCTTTTTTTTTCTTTTTTTTTTTTTTCTTCCATCAAGCTAAGTCTTTAGGGCAATGTGTGTATTTGACATTTATTGTCAAAATAAATTAAATAGATATTTAAATAAATTATTCTTGATTTATTATAATAAAATAGTTAATTATATTTATGGAATGTAAATGATTTATCATTATCGATTACAAATATTTTTTAGAATAGTGTGGGCATGTACACACCTACAAAGTTGATATAAAGTAATTAAGAAAATAAATAATTTATTATGTTAATATATGTTATTGTCAAAATGATTTAAACAAATATAAACATGTTTATTTATTTTAGTTTATAACAATAAAATAATTTAGTATATTAGTGTTATTATCGGGATTGGTTTTAATGTATTTTATTAATTATAAATTTAATTGAAATATATTTGTAAAAAGTAAATAAAATAAAGAGAGAAAAAATAAAATAACCAATAATAAAATCTATATGATCGTGTATATGGAGTTTACTTGTATATGAGAATTACAAAATTGGGTGAAAAACTATCTTATAAGCTACCATCCTTCGAGAGGGTTGGTGTCCTTCCGAAAATTTCTCAAACTAACCCAAAAAAGAAAAAAAAAATTCAATTATTCGACTTTTTTTTTTTTTTTCCTCACTTTGAGGAGTAAAATTCTGTTTTTACCTTCATATCCAAGTCTATTTCACCGAGCCTCTCTCCGAGACAGTGCCCAGATCGTTACGCCTTTCGTGCGGGTCGGAACTTACCCGACAAGGAATTTCACTACCTTAGGACCGTTATAGTTACGGCCGCCGTTCACCGGGGCTTCGGTCGCCGGCTCCCCTGTCATCAGGTCACCAACTTCCTTAACCTTCCGGCACTGGGCAGGCGTCAGCCCCCATACATGGTCTTACGACTTGAAAAGGTCAAATCTACGAGAAAAATAGGTAAGATTAAAGAAGATATTGTCTCTTAGATTATTGCATATAGAAAATATGAGAGCTGGAAATGTATGGTATTGTCCACTTTTAGCCTAAGCTCTCATGCTTTAGGCTTCCCCTAAAGGCCATTAACCATGATCATTTCTTAAACTAGTCAATGTGGAATTTTTATCCAACACAGGGATTTAGGGCATAACACAAGAATTACACAAGGATTCTATTGACATGGCTATTTATCCAACACAGGGATTTAGGGCATAGCTCTGTTACTAACATTGACCCTTCACAATGGTTTGATATTTGTCCACTTTGAACATACGCTTTCATGAATTTGCTTTGGGCTTCCCTAAAAGACCTCATACCAATGATTATAAACCTATGATCATTTCATAAATTAGCCGATGTGGGACTTTCATCCAACAATTGCAACTTCAAAAAATATCACTTACACCTTGAGACTCAATCCACGACAAAAGAGAGAAAGTCAAGTTTGAAAGATTTGTAAAAATGAATCAAATTGACAACTTGAGTACTATGCAACATGATGTTTTATCGAAGATTGTGACCATCGTACCAAGTAGTCCTTATCAAGGAAGAATGAGTAGACGTAGAAGAAGTTGAGTCGACAACCTTGCCTTCCTCGACAAATTATCGACCGTCAATGCAATTTTACTATTTTCTTTTTTTTGCTTTCCTTCATTGCTTTCATTTACAAACTATGCTTTGAATAATTTGGAGTACCCCTATTTTTCCAATAATACAAACTTCCCTGTTCTCCTATCTGTCCCAATCTACTACATACCTGAAATAATTCATTGTTTGACAATGTTTTTCCATATCACCCCTCCCAACATATTCATAATACTTGAAGGCTCTAACACTATGGCATTGACATTCCTGCACCCTTGGGTAAGGTAAATAGGTTTAACTACGTCAGTCCATGTAGAGTTACTTCGGAATGTAATGTGTGAACATCATGAACAAAAATAGATATCATTATCTTCAAAGGGGAGTGAAAAATTCCTTGAAAAATGCTAGTTGTGCTTGTGATTGGTGTGCATTGACATTAAACGCTCGAGGTTCAATGTAAAGCCTAGTCTCAAAAATAGGTATCTAGCTGTAGGTATGCATGAAAGACATGATTGACATAGACAATGGATGAATACTCATAAACACGAACACTTTAGCTTGGCTAGTATGTCCATGTCCAACTATGTCAGACCCTTGAACACTCTAATACTCGTTGAACACATTTGACACCTATTAACATAATATATGGGTTAGACACTAGTTATACAAAGTCAATGTAGGTCCAACATTTTAGACACATCAAATACTTAACTTTGAATAAATTTTGAGAAGGAGATACATTAAAATCATTTTTGAACCATATAAATGCATAAACTTATTAACTTTAAAAATGATATATATTTTATATTTTAATAAACATGTCCTTATTGAGTCCGTGTCCTAGGTTTAAATAAATAGGGTGTCACCATGTCCATGTCATATCATACCATATGTATCATATGTGTGCTTCTTATGACTATATTGAATCAAGATTCTTTATCATTAAGCAAGGATTGATGCATATTTTCGCCGAACAGAGAGGGACTAACAGTCATCTTGGTGTCTCAAATAGTCAAGAAAAAGAATATTGTGAGCTATATTTGAGTAAGCTGAGTGACACTGAGTTCAAGAAAGTCTTAGCCTTACAGCCTAAAGTAGAGGTAGGAATTAAGTTGGAGGTCTTGGTATGGAGAAGAGGTGAGACAACTCGAGACACAAAGAGAAGACAAGGGCCATTAAAAGCTCCATGGAAGTTGTCGTTATAAGATTAAGATTAAGTCATCTAAAAGCAAAGAGAGCTTTTAATGCTTCATTACAACTGGTTAATTTGGGTGCTATCCAATATGCAAGATAAGTGGGCTTGATTTTGTGGAGAAAGAACTTACCCAGTTCAACTAGTCTGAAAGTGTTTTGTTGATTATTGAGGCAATAGAAATCTTATTAGCTATGCGAGCAGAAATTGCAGAATACTGAAAAAGGTAGGACCATGACACCCATCACCCCATAACTTAGGTCGAGTACTCTGTATGTATTCCTTGATCAAACTTTGTTATAGCAATTTTCTAATATGTCCACTACAAATGTTTCTGATGGGGCAAAATGGTGTAGCCTACTAGCCTCAAGGAGAAGTCTCTAAGAATCTGAATCAATTCTTTATTATCATCCAAATGTTCTTGATTACAAGAGAGAAACACTCTATTTATAGCACTATGGTAATTCCTTACATCACAAAATCTCTTTTGATAACATCAGAGACAGCAACAGGGTTGGCTCTCCTAATCTGCCTATCCTTATCTATTTATGTTTTCTATATTACGCCTACCAAAGGATAATACTCGGATTCTCTAATTTAGATTTGTGATCTTACGAGATAACAAGATCATCCTAACAATACATGAGGTGAGAATTTGTGAGACCCCACATCGGTTGGAGAGGAGAACGAAACATTCCTTATAAGGGTGTGGAAACCTCTCCCTATATAACGGGCCAAAGCGGATAATATTTGTTAACGGTGGGATTGGGTCGTTACAAAATTTCAATTAGAGTTCAAATATGTAATAAGAGAAGAAACCCATCTGTGAGCTTGCAATAAATTGATGCATTTTCATTACAGGATTAACATGAAAATACAGTAAGCATCACCTGTTGAGTCAACGCAACGAGTTACGAAAATTCTTCAACCAGAGGTTCATAGAACATTTTGTAAGCTTCCATGACTTCAAGGTACCACATCGCCTCTCGACCAGGAAACTTCGATAGATCAACAATCTTGTGGACCTGATGCAAACATAAAATCACAAAACTAACTTCAGTTCTTGTTCATGGTAGATATCAAAACTCTATGCCATTAAGTAACCTTAAGTTATGAACACTGTCTTTCCTGGTGTTATCTACAAAAGTTGGCTGTTGTCATAATATGGGGACAACTAAGCCCCTATGAGAGTTAATCTCCAGCGCATGGGACACTAAATGCCAATGCAACAAAACATCACACCTACATGTTGAACACCAGCAAATGAAGGTGTAGTACAACGAAAGGGATAGAAAGAGAGGCAAAGACAGCTAAAATGTAGAACTTATTTGGATAAAACTTGCTTGAAATTAAGAGGAACCAACCATCTCAAAGATAACAATAGCAATTTAATCGAAAGCTAAAAGAAACATCTGAAAATACTGAATTATCCACCACCATGTTTCTATGGCAGATGGCTTATCTACAAAACCCATAAAAATAGGAAAAATCTTAAAAACTCGCACCACATGGAGAATATAGGAAACCAATCAACAAGCTTTACAAAAGGTAGAAACCTACAAACATTAGCTGATGCACCCATAAAGACCACATATAATGTCCATAAAGTACAATAGCAACACATCAAATTATTATTTTTTCTTTTGGAGAGTAACACAGATTTCACTGATTGAATGAGATTTATAAAAGGGGAGGGTGGTCGTTACCAACGACCAAAGGTGGATTACGAACAAGTCTCCACCAGGTAATAAGAGAAGTTAGGCTGTAATCTTTAAATGGCTGCATACATCTTAAAAAGATTCGATTCAATAAATTTCTCGAAAGTAGTGGAATCATCATGTTACAGTGTCTACAAAAATGCAGTTCAATAATCCAAAAACCAAGCATCAACTTCTTACTATGCATTCCAAAACTTTTAGATAAAAAAACAAAAACCATTCATTGATAAGATGAAGTAGGTGATACAAAAGAAGATTCTATCAGACAATAATTATGAAACAGCACCTCAATTGATTCACAATGGTAGATAAGCTATAATTACAAAATGGAGGAGACAATTTGCTTCAAGTAATAGCTAAAAGAGAAGTGGCTTCTATAACACAGTTGATATTACAACTCTTATTTGTAAAGATGCGGCCATTGTGCTCAAACCAAAGATTCCATAGGAAAGTTCGAACATGATTACCTACAGGATCTGCTTGCCCTTTTTGAATGAATTACTCATAAGTAATAGAGAAATTAGGGTAAAGATATCCCCGGCCTTGGAAACTCCCATCCAAAGTTATCTTGTAAAAACTTTGTAGATAAAAATAAAACTGAAAGCCAAGAATCTTCAACCAAGGAAATACATTACGATGAAGGGAACTACATGAGCAAATACAATTTGATTTAGGAAATAAAACATTCAACTCAAAAGAAGTCATTAGAATCACAGCGATCTCATCACAAGAAAATTGGTAGATTGATGATGTTTGAGTAGATTTTTCAGTACTTCATTTTCTCTTAACAAGAACACAAAAATCATGGGGGGAAAAAGCAATCGAATTCTTCTCTAATGTCAAGCACAGGACGATCATCAAGGAAAAATGACGAGAAAGCGGAGGAAACAAAAAGGAACAGAGGATGAAGTTTCAATCTCACCGCAATAATGGACGGTTCATTCGTCCGGACGACATAAGCGCCAACAACCATCACATACATTCCTTTACAAAACGAACAAAGAAAGCGAGAGAAACCAAATCAAAAGGCAGCAGAAATAAAAGAGAAGAAAAAAGAGAGAGAGAATGGAAAGTAGAGGTCAAGTACCGAGGCTCCAAGGGCGTTGGCGGAAGTCGCCAGAAAGAGAGAGCTCGACGGTTCCGGTGCCGTCGTCGAGAATCAGCTTACCATTATCTCTGTCGACGAAGACCAAAATCCCCTGCAGAGAGAGCTCTGATTAGAGAGAAGGATTGAGAGAGAGAGAGAGAGAGTAAGAGAAGGGAAGGATGTGGAAGAGAGAACCTGAAGCCAGGCGCGTTGGAAGAGAATGCCGCCGAGTGTGGCGGCGTTGTTGGACGGAGCTTGGCGGGCGTCGTTGAGCTGCCTGCACAGAAGCTTCAACGCTGCTAAGTTATAATCCATTTCTCCGCTTCTTTCTTTCGCTCTCTTCACTTCCAGGTTTTGCCGCCTGGTTTTCAAGTGAACCGAACCGGAAGCTAAGTGACGAACCAAACGCTGCGTTTTACTTGTCCTTTGTTTTGAAAAAATAGCTTTTTTTTAAATAAAAAAAAAAAAGCTTTATATATAAATAATATATTTTGTTATTCATAAAATAATTATTAAGTTTTTATTTTTACTTGTAATATTTAACAAATAATAATATTGAAATTTATTCAAATAATAGGCCTAAAAAATTTATAGTATATGAATAAGGTCAGATCAGATGCTTTATTTTAATAACACTAATTGATATAATCCGTTCCATACTAAACGGGGGCAAAGAATATAATCATACAAGCTGAAATTCACTCATTTCCATATTGGGCATGCTTGACATAATGATGAACGTTATGCTATGTTATGTCTAATATGTGATGACCTATGATGCTATGTTATGTATGTATGTGATGTCTGATTATGTCATGTTATGTATGATATAGGTTATACTATATTAACGATGATGCATGATGAAAGCCATGATTAGTATTATGCATACATAACTCATATGTGTGTTATGACATGAATGAAAGGAAGAACGAAATGATTCTTTTTATATGTTGTGATTTTAAGCTATGGCGACCTCTTGCATGTACGTATGTCATGTGCATCGAGATATTTTTCCATTATGTTAGTACGGACGTGTACCTTTGATATCTAGGTTTGGCATGATATCATGCATGTCTTTTCCTCTATGGTGTACGTATACAAGCTCGCTTGGTAGGTCTATATGCGCCTACGTGGGCCGTGTGTGGGGAAGTACCACACATCCAACCTTGTTCAGACTGGAAAGAACTCAAGGTTAAGCTAGGTTGTTTAGAGGATAGGTAACATCATGGATGTGTGTACCCAACAATTGGGTTACTACCGGTGAAACACTTACTAAGTTTTTTTATACTCATTCATATTACTTTTTTTAAGAGTGTTCGTAGGTTGGGTTGGGACATTTTTTTAAACCCAACCCAATTGTTTGGGTTGCAAAATTTTTGAACTGAGACAACCTTATTAAATAATGAACATAGACTTTCGTACTCTCTCTCTCAAACTAAACCCATCTAATACATTCTAAAATAAACTTTCGTCCTCCGAGTGTTTTAATCTTGAAATTACTTAGTATTTCTTCCTCGTCTCTTTCTTCCGCTGGATGGTTTTGTAAAGACCATTTTCCTATTACAAAAGTCCTTCACTTCTCGAGCTAAAATTCTTATTGGTCTTTTCTCGTAATTTAGGTCATCGTTTATCTATAAGGACTCGTAATCTACGATATGAGTCAAGTCATTCAAAGATTTGCGAAGCATGGATATGTCATACATGTTATATACTACAAAGAGCAACTATGGTAAGGTTGATCTATAGGTCACTAGTCCGATCGCACATATATCATATCATAACGTCTTCATGCTTTCAGACATAACAATCCATATCATGTACATATCATATCATATATCATAACAGTCACATAATATATCTCGAGCATGTCTTCAACATATCAAACCATAAACATATCAATTCATCAAATACAGCATGACAATCACATATTATAACATATACATATCATTTCGGTATATAACAATTTGCAAATAAGAGTGAAGGATGGTTGCCCTAGCATCACTTCAACTTTCTTCAACTTTCACATGTATAATTGTTGTCCAACCACCCAAGGAACTTACCTGAGCTATCCCTCTCTTAATTTGGTGGTGAATTTTATTCAAGGTTTTAAAACGCGTCTGTTAGAGAAAGATTTTTCCACTTTTATAAAGAGTGTTTCGTTCTTCTCTCCAACTGATGTGGGATATCACAATCTACCCCCGGCACACCACCTTGTGTCCACCCCCTTCGGGACTCAGTCTCCTTGTTGGCACATCGTCCCTCCCTAGTCGAGGCTTAGCATCCTTGTTGGCACATTATTCCTCCCTAGTTGAGGCTCAGCCTCCTCGTTGACACATCGTCTCTCTCCAACTGATATGGGATATCAAAATTCACCTCTTTTCGGAGCTCAGGATCTTTGTTGGAACTCTTTCCCTTCTCCAATCAATATGAGACTCCCAATCCACCTCCTTCAAAGTCCATTGTCCTTGTTGGCACATCGCCTCGTGTCCACCCTTCTTCAGGGCTTAGCCTTCTCGCTGGCACATCGTCCAGCGTTTGACTCTAATATCATTTGTAACCGTTCAAACCCATCACTAGTAAATATTGTCCTCAAAGTTTTTAAAACATGTTCATCACGGAGAAGTTTCTACACCCTAATAAAAAATACTTTATTCTCCTCCCCAACCGACATAGAATCTCACGCTAAATGAACTATCTATACTGTGGATTTGCAAATCCAACTAGATTGGGGGAGAGCGTGTCACGCCCGAAGTACCAAACTTTATTCTGGGTTCATCAACGACTGAGAATGTGTAGGGCATAACATTCAGACATGCAAAACAAAAGCCCCCAAAAGTGTGTGTTTTCTGAAATGGTATCCAATGCAGCAGCTAAGTCCCATGTCCCAGAAAAGACACAAACTTGAAATCACACTCTGCTCCAAATCACCAACGGCGACAAACATATTGGGGCCATCTAATGACCCATCACTCAATTTTATGCTTATCGGTCACCTCTAATCACATCTATAGATCTTAGACGTAAAATAGCGCTCAATATCATACTGGTCGATAAATGGTATGAATTATATTTGAGATTAAAATGTTAACTTGATCGTGGTTTAATCGATTCGGACACTTATCCTCGATTAAAGGTTTAGAGAGGTTTGAATTTTTCCACCGACATCTTATTTAACTGGTAAAAAATTGAGATTAAGAACTCACTAATTCAATAGTTTTCTACCATGATTATATAAAAAATTAGATTTGAGTTTTATCGTTAAAAGTAAATATTTTTTTAATGCGGAAAAGATTTAAACCTCTGACCTCTCCATCAAAAGTACATGTTTTACCTTAATTGAGTTATACTTATGTTCGACTTCATCAATTTTTAAGGTTGTTTTTTTTTTTCTTTTTTGTATTTTTTAGTCTATACTTTCAAAATATTTAAATTTGAACCATCTTAATTAGCCAAATATTTTGTTTTTTTAATTTTATAAAATAGTAATAATAACAATAATTTTCAATATATTTATTTATTGTATGTGGCTAGGACATATTCACATCAATCATAGCTTGTCAAAATAAAACCATAGAGATAGACTGACATCCAAATCTAAATAAATGTAAAACTAAATCTTATGAGATTTTCTGCATTAAAAAGGAAAATCTTCATACATTTTTGGGAATAAGGGTAAATTTAGTAATTTTTGTCCCGACCCAAAATTTTATGTCATCCCCACTCGGATTTTTACCTATTTAGTAACTTTTTGTAATAGTAACTAATGTCTTATTCACCCTCTTGACTCAAATTTTTACGTTTTTAGTAACTTTTGTTGTTAGATAAACACGACTCTCCACAATAATATAATATTCGTCACTTTGAGCATAAGCTCTCATGATTTTGTTTTGAGCTTCCTTAAGGACCTCATACTAATGAAGAGAGTATTCATTGATTATAAACTCAGGATCAGTCCCTAAATTAGCCGATGTAGGACTTTCATCCAACATCTCCCCTCGAACAAAGTACGTCTCCCTTTAATCGAGCCTTAACTCATTTTCTTTTGAAGTCTTAGTCATTTTTTACTATGCTTTCGAGAAGCTTCGACTCTTTTTCTTTTGGAGTCATTTGTTCGACATTTGAGTATTCTATTGACATTGCTAAGTTTAGGGCATGACTTTAATACCATTTATAACTGTCCAAACCCACGTTAGCAAATATTGTCCTCATTGGGCTTTTCTTTCGGGTTACTAGGGGAAAGTTTCCACACCCTTATAAAGGATTTTTCAACCTCCTCTCCAACCAATATGAGACTTTCACATTCCATCCCCCTTCGAGACCCAACATTTTTAGTAACTTTTGTAATCATAATTAGCATCTTATTCACGATTCCAGCCCGTATTTTTTAAGTTTTTAGTAACTTTTATAATAATAGAAGACAAACCCAATTCAAATTTTTATACGATGAGAATCCTAAGAACATGGATTCCTACACGTTGTCCAAAATAAAAGGAATAAACAAAAATGGTTTTTTTCTTTGTTTTTTACGAACAAACATGCTACGTGGTCTGTGTTGGAATAAATAGAATTTGACCCATTTTATTTCGTTCATTCATTCCCATGTTTTGTTTATATCCAAAATGTTGGCTAATGACTTATGTGACCTTTCATTTTTTTTTTGTATCGTTCTTCGAACACATATCTTTTTATCTTTCATCTAATTTTTTTTCGAAGATATAAACTTTTAATTATTAGAATCGTCTAAACTTTTAATTTTGCATTAAATTGATCTTTAGACTTTAGAAGTTTTAAATAAGTCACTGAATTTCAAACAATTTTAATAGGTCCCTCAACTTTTAATTTTGTGTCCAATAGATAGCCATTTGGGATTCTCATTTTGGTCAACGGGATGTCGAAGCTTTTACTTGAGGGGGTGCTCTTGGCCCAGTGAATATCGCTTATTCTGGTGTTTATCGGTGGTGGTATACAATCGGTTTACGTGCTAATGGGGATCTTTATACGGGAGCTCTTTTTCTATTATTTCTTTCTGCCATATTTTTAATAGCAGGTTGGTTACACCTACAACCGAAATGAAAATCGAGCGTTTCGTGGTTTAAAAATGTCGAATCTCATCTAAATGAGTAAGTTCCTTGGCTTGAACAGACCATTTAATCCATGTCACTATTCTTGCATTCAGGGGAGAATATGTTCGATCCTAATTAAAGAAAAATTTAAGAATTAATTGATTTATTAAATATAAAATTAAATTTGGTTTATGTATGATATATCCATGAATTTTAGAAAATATTGAATACGTGAGATATTTAATTAAAAAATAATAATAAAAAAAAAATCTACTAGATTTTCCTTTAAAGGTCAAAATTGTAATTTAAGCCAATTATATTAGCTTGTTACGTGGATGAAAAATAAAAAGGAGAATTAAATTTTTGTTAGAAGGAGATAATTGTATTTTAACATAGCCACAAATTTTAATTAACATTTGACATAACTTAATACCCGAACTAGAATAACATATGATGATCAAGCAAAAAAAAAAAAAAAAAATGATTATAACGGCTCAAGCACATCGCTAGTATTTGGGATATCACAATTAAAGGTGTTTCACCCCGTCAAAGCCCCAGCGCCCTCACTGACACTCGTTCCTTTGTGGGACCTCTCGCTAAATCCACCCCCTTTGAGGCCAGCATTCTTACTGGCACATCGTCTCGTGTCTATCTCATTCGGGGAACAGCCTCCTAGCTAGCACATCACTCGATGTCTGGCTCGATACCATTTGTAACGACTCAAGTCTACCGCTAGCAGATATTGTCCTCTTTAGGCTTTCCCTTTTGAGTTTTTCTTCAAGGCTTCAAAACGGGTTTGGTAGAAAAAGATTTTCATACCTTTATAAGAGTGTTTCTTTCTCCTTCCAACGAACGTGAGATGGTGGATCTCGCCTCTATGAACAAAAAAAAAAAAAGAAAAAACCTATAAATAGCAATTCTCTCTCCTCTCTCTTCCTCTCTCTCTAAAATTCAAAGCTAAATTCTTACATTTTCTCTCAACCCCATGTCTCAATTTCACAAATCCGATCACCAAAAGGTAATAGAACCACCAAAGTCACCGGAAGAAGGTGATCGGAGCAAGGAGGAAGACGGCGGAGAAGCAGTGGATTGTGGTGGAGAGAGCTGCCGAACTCCGACATCTCTCCGACATCGAATTCCCATTGCACGAAGCTGCCCGACAACGCCGAGAAAGCGAAAAATTGTGAGCAAGAGGAAATTTTCAGATGAAAGCTTCTTTGAGGTCGCCGGAAGGGGAGAGGTAGAATCCTTGTTTGCCTTATTTTATAAGGTTTCTTCTGCAAAAAGAAGATTTACAAATATATAAAACCCTAATTAGGGTTTGTATAATTACGCACATACACCAAGTTTGATCTATAAACTCGAAGTTGAACCTATTTTAATAAATTTTTAATTTTGTATCGAGTACGATTATATTTGAATCAGTACAAACCGAACATATTTTAATGTTCGAGAGGGGACGGTTGGTGTAGATTTATTTGTTGTTGGATGTTTTTGTTTGGTTTTTACAAGGTTATGTGGTCATGTTTTGTGTCTTGTTTGGGAATATCATTTGCAAACCAAATAAATATAGGAAGAAACAGACAACATGATTCTTAGGATTCTTGTTTTGTGTTCATAAATATGACAACTTTTCTCAAAAATCATGTTAAATTACTATTCACTCTTATTTTTCTCATATTTTAAAATATGGGTTTTCTTTTTCTTATATTTTACGATAGTGTTTGGATCTGATAAATTCTACGCAAAGGTGTTCATAATTTGAGAACGGATAAACTCGGACTATCCAACCCAACGTGTTTGGGTTAGATTTTTGGTTTGTATTTGGTTGAATTTTTGAGCAACTGAAAAGTTAGACCAATTCCGAGTCAACTCAATCAACTCGAAAATAGGGTTACAATCCAACCAAACCTAATACTTTTAAGATTATTATTAACATTAAGAATACCGGTAAATGTTTAATATTTGAGTTTTTATTAGATTTTAGTTATTAACGTAACATATATTACAAAAAGAATAACCCGACAATCCAACCCGTAAATAGAGGATTAGGTTTTGAACTCTGTTCGGGTTACTCGAGTTACCAACTGTGGAGTGTAAATTATGTATCTAGTAATAATTCAATTTTATTGCAATATTGTAGATGGGTCACATAGGTGTAAAACATAGTAGAGCAAGGCCTATTGAGCTATTGCTTAATTTTAAAATTATTTTGATGGTTCATAATTGAAATTCAATGCAATTGGTGGATTATTAACTTTTGCATCTAGTCCCACAATATTGGGGACATTCAATATGTGGATTAGGTTGTTTGGATTAATTACACTAATTTATCGGTTATAAGACCTTTTCGTTTCGGAAAGTTCAACGTCAAATAGTTGGGGACGGGAAGCCTTCTTTGCACCAACTCTATTCCTATCAAAATAAAGTCACGGTTATATGCATGACATATTGAATGAATGTAAAATATAACTATTCTTAGGGCTCTATTTCCATTTCGGGCAAGGTTGAATGTGTAGTAATTTTCTACACACGATCCCGCGTATACATATTCTTAGGCTTGACTATGGGCTAGAGAATGACGTTCCTATGAGACATGTATGTGTATACCAAACATATCTATCATGGTTTACATTAATGACTTGTCAATGTTTCATAGGCATAATGGAAACATGCTCGAAGTACATGTATCATATAACATTTATATCATATAATGTAATCATAACGTAACATAATCATCACATATCACGTCATATATAACAAACTATAGCATCACGGGTCACATAATACATGTCATTCATACATCACACAAATCATCCAACCAAACTTGAGGCATACCAACAGTAAAATCACTGACTTGGTTGACCTAAGTCGGAGTCACAAAATATCCTTGGATTTAGCTTGATTTCACTTCTCAAAACTCAACTCTAGGTTCTACAGTATCGTATTTAGAATATCGTCATGAAAAATTTACTCACATACTGACCTCAAACACTCGGAATAACGTAAAAAAAACAACGATGACAATTCCCTTTTTGGGTATGTGAAAGATAGTAAGAAAATTCCATTAATAGACAAAGAAAAAGAAACAAAAAATAAATCAAATTTCAAATGGAAGAAAGAATTATTCTTTTACTTTTATATATCTTTTATTAATTTAAAAAGCAAGAATATTCCTAGAGAAACAATTAAATTCAAAAAAGAAAAAGAAAATCAAACTTGTAAGTTACAAATCTTGGCGATTATGCAACTAAGAACAAACTCGGATCAAATCTCAAAGATCCACTTTGCATTTTGTATTATCGAAAGGTGTTGAACCATTGATCTTAAGCCTGACTCGATCACAATAGATCTCTAGCGACCGACGTTTTGATGCCCATTTCTCGACAATGTAACTGATAGAAATAGAGCGAGACAAAAATCAGATTGAAGCTAAATTTGATGATATACTGATATGTTATATATCTATCTTAAAAGTTAAATGTTTGTACCTGACATGAGCCGAGAAGTGAAGTTCGGGATTCAACCCATTTGATAGCATCAAATCTTTCATTTGCCCGAAAGGGTATATGAAGTTGACTTCGACGGTGGGAGTCAAGAAGGTTTGGTTTCCGGGCAGTTGCGTGAACGTGGGGATCGTGGTGATAAACGTCTGACCCATATCATCAAGTGTCATCTTCATAGAATCCATATGAATGGAGGCTCTTTTGTTAGGGTTATAGCTTTTGATGGTGAAAGATATGGAGGCATTGAGCTTTCTATCAGTTAAGCTATGGGGTGTTACATGGCCATTTTCCAATATAAGATTTGGGGTTTTGGGGAAGACAACAAGCCAACAAATGACAATAGCAAGACCGACAAGGAACATGACAGCCAACAAGCTTCGTCCTATGATTCTCATGAGCTTGGTGCGTTTTGCTGTCCCATGTTGCTGTGCATAGTAGCTTGGTTTTGGTGCCTCAATGATGGAGGTTGATGATGATGAGGCTTCTCCTTGTGTATTGTTCCTCATGTTCTTCAACAAATGTTTGTGTTCTTTGTTGGTTTTGATTTGTTGTCTCGTGTATATGTGGATAAGAAATGTGTTTGTTTTGGCTTTCTTGATGAGGGAGTATAGGAATATATGCTCACCATGTGCATTTGGGTTTTGAGTTTACTTGTACTCCAAGTTGATACACTTGTAGTTCAAGATTTTGGTTGTGTCGAGGATGTCGATAACACTACAATCAAGTCTCGTTGCAGTCAACTCAGTCCTCTAACCATAGTTTCTCGTGTGCTAAACTCTTCTTTCTTTCTTTTTAAATACTTTTTAATTTTTTCTACTATCTACTGGAGTGGACGGAAATCTCAATTTAGGGGTATAATGGTAATTTTACTATAACATTACTCTTGAATCAAATCTCACACGACAAGAGGAAGAAACGAGTTTCTAGGGCTTTTTTCATTCACACTCGGGATTGGGAAGAATTTGATCTATAAGACACGTGGACTCTAATTTGAGTAATGATTAATTAATTAATTTTTTTGTAGGGCTCACACAATAAAAAAAGGAAACTAGTATTATCAAAGATCATTTTCTCTTATTGTCTAAGCCCACCGCTAGTAGATATTGTCTGCTTTAGCCCGTTACATATTGTTGTCAGCTGTACTATTTTAAAACGTGTCTGCTAGGAAGAGGTTTCCACACTCTAATTAGAAATATTTCGTTCCCTCTCCAATCAACGTAGGATCTCAAATAATTCAACGACATTTCACAAACCTCAACAAGTTCTTGATAGGTATAAGATACCAATTTCAATATCACAAGCAACGTAAAGTATTTCTAAATTCTTAAATAATAAAAGGGTATCACCGAATTTTAAAAATTCATAGCAATTTTAAAAGAACCTTAAATTACTTGTATCCGCGTAACAACTTAAGCTCACCTCGAACAGATATTGTCTGCAACGTAATGAGACAAGTTTTCGACTAATATACTTATATTAAGTAACCGAGGACCAAATTCTTGATTTAGCAACTTATGGGCTAAAGTATTATCGAACTAAAGGTATAAACTAACATAAGTAAGGGTTTCATTCTTCTCCTCTCAATTATTTCGATTTTGACCCAATTCAACCATCAAATTTTCTAGGGGTGTACATGGTCCGGGTTGGGTTGGGTTGGAGGATTTTTTTGACCCAACCCAAAAGTTCGAGTTGGTTGGATTCAATCCAACCCAACCCGAAACTTTTCACAGTCCAACCCTCTCATTTTCCATAATCAACTACAACAACATGATTATCTATATTTTTTCTAAAAGAATTGGCTTTTTATTACTATTCTCATTGGTTTATCTTGATCCTTACGTGATGTACATAAGAGAAACGAGGGTGACATCACATCTCTCTATACTAGGTAGACTCTAGGTAGACTCTTGTCAGTCAAGATATGTTCATGATTAAGGTTGTGTCTTGACCTATAACAACCTAAATCCACTGCTACTGCTAGTAGATATTATCATCTCTAGACTTTTCCTTTCAAGCTTCCCCTCAAGGTTATCAAAACGCCTCTTTGGGTTTTCTCTTTCGGGCTTCTCCTCAAGGTTATCAAAATGCTTCTTTGGATTTTCCCTATCGGGCTTCCCCTCAAAGTTTTTAGAACACGTTTGCTAGGGAGAGGTTTCGACACCCTTATAAAAAATGCTTCGTTCTCCTTCTCAACCAATGTAGGATCTCACAATCCACCACCTTCTCCAATCAATGTGAGACCCCCAATCCACCCCTTCGGAGCCCAGCATCCTTCCTGACACACCGCCTCGTGTCCATCCCTCTTTAAGGCTCAGTCTCCTTGCTGGCACATCGTCTGGTGTCTGACTTTGATACCATTTGTAATAGTTCAAACCCACAATTAACAGATATTGTCGTCTTTGGACTTTCTATTTCGGGTTTCCTCTCAAAGTTTTTAAAACGCGTATGTTAGGGAGAGGTTTTTACACCCTTATAAAGAATGCTTCGTTCTCCTCTCCAACCATCAAATTGTCATCTTCGTTCTTCTCCTCCCTTAATTCTTAATTCTTAATCAAATTGTCCTCTTGTGAGTTAGAATCTCACTTAGTGTTAACTTGTGTACATTAGAAACAAGACTAAACCTTAGAGTGGTTAGGGATGAAGTGACAGATGCGAGACTAAACCTCACCAGTAATATACCTAATTTTCTAACTAAGATCAGCATCTTAATGCACATGACACACATAAGGTTCCGATGGCTTAAAATCATAGCATATTAAAAGCATGAGTTCGATCTTTCTTTCATTAATGTCATAATACACACATGAGTCATGTATGCATAATACTAGTCATGACTTTCATCATGCATTATCACTAGTATAGTATAAATCTATAACATGGCTTTACACGACATAGCATACATAGTGTTTTCATAACATACATAGCATGACATAATAGAACATTGCATAACATACATAATATAGCATTATAAGTCATCGCATAACATGCATAGCATAACATAATATTCATAATTATGATACATACAGAAGCCACAAGGCATGGGTCATCGTACATCACACAATTCTTCCAACCAACCAACAAAGCCATTTGCCAATTTGGCCTTGTCCGGAGTCTCTAAATATTTTTAAAGTTGGTCCGAGACTATTCTTTAATGTTCAATTTAACCTATACCGGATAAAGTGGGTTGTCTGTAATTGGGATGAAGACACACTTTTAGATCGGCAACCGCATAAAACTCACAATTTCTAGCAAGATTCAAGTTTTTAACGTTTTTTAATTAACTGGTTTTACAATGAGAGGGGTGGGGAACCAAACTCTAGATGGGGTGTAATCCAATATAATAAAGTAGTGGTCCCGAAGTCCAAGCTGTTAATGGGGTTCGAGATAACAAGGCTCTAGGGAACTTTATCTTTGAACTCGAACAGTACTTTTAAGCCTCAAATACACGGGAATCTTTAAATACTTGATATTTAGAGAGAGAGAGAAAAATGAGATCAATTTGTAATTTTTTAAATATTGGATAATAAAAGAATTCAAAATTTTCACGTTAAATTTCAATTAAAAATAAATTGAGATATATGTTATACAATTTATTTATTATTAAATGAATATATTGATTTATTTTAATTATAAAACGAAAATAAAAATATTTATATAAAAGAAAAAGGAAAAGAAAAAAAAATTAATATAGGAATATCTTGGGCATTTAAGTAAATTTTTACAGATGGTATTTTGGTAATTTTACCATTTATCTTCGTTGAGTTAGGGCTGAAAATCAACATAGCCACAGCGTGAGAGCAAAAATATAGCACGCAGGCGCTGTAACGTAGAAGAAAACTGGCAGATCAGTGGCGTGGGTGGCTTCGGTGAAGAAACAGGGCTGTGTAGGTCTCGGTTTAGGGGGCTGAATCGTGACGCCGTGAGTCTCAGTGTAGAGGACTGTGACTCGCCGCCGTGGGTCTCAGCTCAGCGGCGGTTTGAGCGTCGTTGTGGGTGTCAGTTTCTTCTGCTTGGAAGCTTTTGATATCGATTACAGGGGCAGCCAAAAATGGGTTCTTTTTAAGATGAAATCGACGGTAACCTTGATGTTAACAATCGGTGGAGATTGTGGTTAGCTTTCAGGGGAGTCTGATTCTCAGTTTGTGTGGGTTAATTGCTTCATTGTATCTCTGTATTAACGACTTGATGCTCTTACACTGTAAGTGGAGCCTGCTGTCTGCTAGGAATGTTCTGCATTACTCGTACACTGTAAGTGGTACCTCTAAATTTCTTCCGTTTTTGTTTGTTTGTGTAATATTGCTCCGGAAATCGATTGTTTCGCTCTGAACTGTGTTTGTTACCAATTAGATTGGAAGAAGAATTCTGTTGTATATCTAAGTTCTGAAGTTGATGGATGTGTAAGAATGTCCAAATTAGAGTTCATGACAGTAGTTTGTAGATGTTCTTCATAGGTGGAATCCAGATTATTTCTCATTCTCTTCTAGGTCTTGATTATTGGACTTTTTGATATAGTAACCTTAGCCAGTTGGGTCTCCGAACCCTCATAACTCTCATGGATATTCTAACCCCTAGATAAAGAATGCGAAAACTCCCAAATCGAGCTGATTTCATTTCAAATGATTGATACCACTTGTCACAATTACGGGACAGTGATTGTGGTTACTTGTTCTATCCCAACGAACAAGTTAGTCGTGAGAAATTCAAACTTCGCAGACAATGCCGGCCTTGTCACGTTTGAGAAAAATGTTTTGGAAAACATGAGCCAAAAAATATGTTGAAAACAATTTGAAAAAAAACAATGTTATAATCTAAAAGCGATTAGACAACCACGACGGCTTTGATAGCATATAAGTGTAGGAAGACACTCTAGGGAATTCGATCTAGCAACCTTATTGAAGAATAAGACCTTTAGATCTAAACTATCCTAGAACCTCAAAACAATAAGGAAACACCTCAAGGGAAAGTAAGATCCAAATAACTATGTTGATCAAATATCTCAAGCGAAAGAAACTTCTTTGAGATTTTAATTACTCCACAAGTAAGATCGATCATGTCAAGCTTGAATGATTTTAAGCACTTAATCGACATACGATTGCAAAGAAACTTAGCATTGCCTAAAAGATAGTAGAAATTCTCTTTTTACTACATTTCCAGGACTAAACCCTTGACTTTCCATGCAACGGCCTAAACCCACCGCTAGCAGATATTGCCTCTTTGGACTTTTCCTTTCAGGCTTCCACTCAAGGCTTTTAAAACGCATCTGCTAGGGAGAGGTTTCCACAACCTTATAAAGGGTGTTTCGTTCTCCTCCCTAACCAATGTGGGATCTCACAATCCACCCCCCTTCAGGGTCCAGCGTCCTCGCTGGCATTCGTTCCTTTCTTCAATCGATGTGGGACCCCCACCAAATCCACCCCCTTCGAGGCCTAGCGTCCTTACTGGCACACCGCCTCGTGTCTACCCCCTTCTGGGAACAGCCTCCTCGCTAGCACATCGTCCGGTGTCTGGCTCTTATACCATTTGTAACAGCCCAAGCCCACCGCTAGCAAATATTGTCCTCTTTGGACTTTCCCTTTCGGGCTTCCCCTCAAGGCTTTAAAATGTGTCTGCTAGGGTGTTTCGTTCTCCTTCCCAACCAATGTAGGATCTCACATTCCATGAGGCATTTCAAGAGTTCTAACCTTCCTACTTTAGGACCATAATTAGCCACTATATAAACAAAAAGCTTTAAAATACATTAATGAAACACCATAACTTTATAACTCTAGATTATCATCCACCCAAAATTTGTAACCATCCAACAAAAAATGAAGCTTGATTCTTCTTTAACGTGGCATTAATTGCCACTTGAGTTTATCTTGTGGTAATTTGAATAACATTTTTTTACATTTTCCTTGAAGTTCGTATTGCATGATTGAGATCTTATTCGTATCACTTTTGAATCCTTTTTGATCTGTAATTGGCAGGCTTTGATATGGATCATGTTTTCTGAGCTTATATAACCAATCTTTCTTCAGTAACTTAATTTACTAAAATTTTGTTCGTGCACATCAATTATCGAAAATCCGGCTTTGAATGCTCAATAGTCATTTAACAATTCATCAATATCATTTATCTTTCTGAGCTTAAACTTTGTTGAAACTACATCTTACCCACCTTGGCATACACATGACTTGTGCTTCGAATTTTGTCTTTGCATGTCTAATACAGAATAGCATTACATCTATCCCAGTTGGTAACCCTCAAAACTGGCTGCTTTATGCCATCAGACGCTTTGGCCATCAGTCATCTACTAATAATATCTCTCCTGATGAAGAGAAGGTGAAGGATGAAGTCTTAAATCAAATTACTGCCACAAGGGAAAATGCCTCAAGGTGCAGCCACGAAACCTTTGACGTTTGCATCGATAAGATGTGTAGATCAGGCAATCTTACAGCTGCTGCTCAACTACTTAAATCATTATGTGATAGGAAAATATCTCTTAGCTCCTCCAAGGCATATGATATGGTTTTGCTTGCAGCAAGTGAAAGAGGAGACACTACCCTTTTATGTCAAGTATTTAAAGATTCCCTTGTTTCCCGTAAACCGCTGAGTTCGACCTCGTACATGAATTTTGCCAAGGCCTTTGCCAGGACAGATGATAGTAGCAAGCTACTGGAATATGTCAAAGAAATAATTGAGATGACGTTTCCAAACTTCCTGGTCATAAACAGAATAATCTTTGCCTTCTCCGAATGTAGGGAGATTGATAAAGCCCTTCAGATATTTAATCAGATGAAGCTTCTGTCATATAGACCAGATTTGTACACATATAACATCATTTTGGATGCGCTAGGTCGTGCAGGTCGAATGGATGAAATTCTTCATATGTTTGTTTCCATGAAAGAAGATGGCATCGCCCCGGATATTGTGTCGTATAATACATTAATAAATAGCTTAAGGAAGGTGGGTAGACTAGATATGTGCTTGATTTACTTCAGGGAAATGGTTGCAATGAGAATTGAACCTGATTTGCTTACTTATACTGCTTTGATAGAGAGTTTTGGTCGATCTGGAAACGTCGAGGAAGCTTTAACACTCCTCAGGGAGATGAAGCTTAAGCATATCCGACCTTCGAGCTATATCTACAAGTCTCTCATTAGTAATTCAATGAAGATTGGGAAGGTGGAGTTGGCTATGAACCTTCTCAAGGAGATGAAATTAAGTTATTCAAAACTTGCTGGTCCAAAGGATTTCAAACGAAAAAGAAGTTAACCATTTACAAGGCCTTTCATGGTGACTTTCAGGCTGATAAACCTGTGGGATGGCTTTAATCTTCAAACTGAGATTTTCCAGAATTACTGCTGTCTGCAAGTAATATTTGTACCCATTTATCTACCTCTTTGATGTCTGACATGAAATACAAAGATTAGTTACAGTGATCAGTTGAATTTTACTATTTCTAGTATGTATGTTTCTTTGGGACAGAGTTTGGAATTCAAATCTATATCCATAAATACTATATCTTGACTTGAGCCACTCAATAAGGAAAACACGACGTAAAGAAAGCTCGGAATCTGTTTTTTTCGATCTGGGTAAAGCTGCTTCTCTCCTTCCCCTCGTAATCTCGGTAAAGCTGCAGAGATGACCTCGTTTTCTTAGGTTTGTTTGTGCTTGAACCTTTGACTCTTTTTCCTAACTTGATCTAGATTGCAACGTATTTGATCTGGAATTGACGGACGACGACGAAGATGAAGAATTGATTGATAACTTTAAACTTATTTGGGAGGATCGGTTAGTTGGTTTGAGAGAATTGTACAGAGAATGGGTATGAACAAACAGTTTCCTTGAGTGAACAGAAAATCTTGATTATGTTTGCTTGCATAATTTGAAGTTTATATGCAACTTATTGAGCAAACTTGTGGGGATGGAAACCTCAGATCCAGCTTTGGTTGAACAAATTTTACTGTTTAAAAGCCCCTCATGGTTCAGATCTTTCACAGTAGACCAGACATTACAGAAGCTAGAAGTCAAGTAACCTGTTGATCTGGCAGCTTATCTGTTTGAGGGGCGTATACCTAGACGATCTTAATATTCAGCCTAACGATTCAAGTTTTTGTTGAATTCAGAACCTTTGCATTAATCAAGAACCCTTCAACTATACATTAGGTCAAGTCATCTGGCTCAATTTTGCCTCTAATTTAATGTCTCTTATCCCCAAAGAAATTATGTTGGGAATTGGACTTGTGTGTCGATCATCTCATTGGGACATCCTTATATCCAGGTTATCATCGGACATTGAATATGTTTTTGATAGTGAGTGCATAATTCAACCTCTGTCACATGGGTTGGGACATAATATCGGGCACACTTGTGTTGTTTTGTAATATCCTAAAAAATTTCATTTCAAAGGAAGAGGCCTGAAACACTTGGCTCGTAACGCTCGACCACACTTTGACACATGTATGTGTCATAGAGCTCGTTTAGGCTATAGGGTCCAAGAGTGGTGGAGAGCTAACACCATTCCTCCCCCTATAATATACATTTTGAAGCATTTCCAATATTTCTCGAGTACACATTATTTTGGCAAGCGATCATACGACCTTATGTATTGTCCGTTGATTATTCAATTAACACCAAATTTGTTGAGCTTTCATCTTTTATATATACGAACTTAGCTCTAGAATCGCATGATGCATTTAGTAAAAAATTTGTAACAAATTAATCCTTATCATAAATATTTTTAGAAAAAATAAATGTTGATTTTGACTATTTTATGATCTAAACTTCATAACTTAAACATATTATGTTTCTAATGATATGTTCCAATATTTGAAGATATAATAAAACAAACAAAGACGAACTGGTTATTAAATATTGTTAATAAATACAAATCAGAGTGACGCAGCGGAAGCATGGTGGGCCCATAACTCACAGGTCCCAGGATTGAATCCTGGCTTTGATAATAAAGCTCAAACGAGCCCTTTTCATGTGTCATAAAGCTTGTTTAGGCCACATAGGACACCGTGCCTTTAGAGAGGCGCACGGAAGCGTGGTTGGCCCATAACCCACAACCTTAGCTCTTATAGTGAAGAGTGGATTTTGTCTCAGCTACACAGAAAGAACTTGAGACCACATGGTGGACCCATAACTCGTAGGTCCCGAGTGGCTACTATCAAATGCCTAATTGAATATTTTGTCTCAGCTACACAAAAAGAACTTGAGACCATGTGCCCAGAAATGTTTAAAAGAGTTTGAATAGTAGTCGGATCTTGTTCAGACATACATATACATACATATACATACATATACATACATATACATACATATACATACATATACATAAGATTTAGAAGATTCTAGAAATTTTAAAGAAACATTTGAAAGGAATCCAATTTTGTTATTATTATCTATAACCGTTAGAGCGTATCAACGGATTACTTCTAAATCCCAAGGCGGGAATTTTGTTTGAAATTTGAAATTCAAATGGGGGCAGATCCGCAAATTAAAATAGTTTCTTAATTTTCATTTTGGCCCCCTCAACTTTCCATATTTGCGCCGTTTCCCAAATTCAAAACGCTATTTTAACCCCTACTTCTTCTTCTTCTTCTTCGTCGCTCTTCCAAGGTCTGCGATTTTTCTTCTCCCAACTCTCTCTACGTTTTTCTTTCAATTTTGAATCTCTTTCTCTGATCTTCTTCAGATTTCTTCAGATTGAACAAGCGCTTGTGATCTTTCTGTCACAAATCCGGCGCTATGGGTCAGATCCAGTACTCTGAGAAATACTTTGATGATATCTATGAGTATAGGTCTGTAACTTCTCTTCCTCGTCTGATCTACGATTACGGATTTTTTTTATGCCGTGATTTTCTCCATCGGCATGGTTTGATTTTCATGGTTTTTGTTGATGGATGTTTTAGGCATGTCGTGCTTACTCCTGATGTGGCCAAACTTCTGCCCAAGAATCGCCTTCTCTCTGAAGTAAGTAATTTCACGATTCTCCGGTATGTCATAATTTTCTGTGTGGAATTGAAATTGGATGTTCATGATTATCCTGTTCCAATTTTCTTGTGTTTAAATCCTGTTCCGCTAGTCGGAAATGTAATTAAATTGAAAGAGCCATTTCTTACATCGTACTGTGAACCCTAGCGGTTTCCCGTTCGATTATATTCCCAACACTGGGAATCATAGATTGTGGATGCCTTGAATTCATTGTAATTCGATTTAGTGATGATGAACAGAATGAATGGCGAGCGATTGGGGTTCAGCAGAGCCGTGGATGGGTGCATTATGCAATTCACCGCCCAGAGCCGCACATAATGCTGTTCAGGAGGCCACTCAACTATCAACAGCAGCAAGAGAATCAAGCTCAGCAGCAGATTCTAGCCAAGTGATAGGTTTATTATCTTTATTCTCTAGAAACACTATATTTTGTCTAGAACTCTAATGGAATCTCTCCCTACAAATCAAAAGAAGAAGAAAAAAATCAGGAAGCTCTGTGGCCCAGTGAGATCTCTGTCATAGTCATAAGCCCTCATTGATCTCGAATTTGTGGTTTTATATTCCTTTGGTATAAAAATATGGTTTTATCCTCTCCTGTTCTTCTTGGCTGGCATCAGTTACTTCTGATTTTAATGTTCAGATTCTCCTTAATGAATTATCCAATGTTATTTTCAACATTACTTGTAGGGCACAAGTATTGGAAAGAAAAATCTTGAGAATGTGAACAGAATATCACTGGTATAATCATCAATTATTCATGTATGACCTACCCTTTTAATTTATTTTCAAAGTCTTAATTGATTGTTTATTAATTTAAATATTTTTATGAATGTTCTTCAACGTTCATAGTTTTTATACTTTTTGTCTGAACAAATATCTTAGTGATGATCTTTTTTCTATAAAATTGATATCTAAAGGTGTGTAATGTTTTTCAATCGATTTGGTTATTGTTTTGATTTAATCTCATTTGGACAATTTCATTTATTTTTTCATATTCATTGAATTTGTAGCAAAATTCTATACTTTTCATTACAAAACTAATAAACTAGAAAAAGATGATTATTTTATGAAAGAATGTTCGGTCTATAAAAAGCGAGATTTGTGGTTGTGGAAACTATCCATGTTAGACTTACGCACTCTTTACAATAGTATGATATTGTCCACTTTGAGAGTAAGCTTTCATGATTTTGAGTTGGGTTTCTCTAAAAGATCTCATTCTGATGAAGAGAGTATTTTTTTATTATAAATGCTTTCATGACTTTGAGTTGGACTTCTCTGAAAAATCTCATATTGATGGAGAGAGTATTCCTTCATTATAAATGTTATCATGACTTTGAGTTGGACTTCTCTAAGAGATCTCATATCACTCTAAGAGATCTCATACCAATGGAGATAGTAGTTTTTCATTATAAATGCTTTCATGACTTTTCTTGAGTAAGGTTTCTCTAGAGGATCTCATATTAATGGAGAGAGTATTCTTTCTTTATAAATGCTTTCATGACTTTGAGTATGACTTTCATCATCCAATGCTACTCTCATATCATGGAGAGAGTATTCGTTCATTAAAAATGAATGCTCTCAATATCATGGAAAAAGTATTCTTTCATTATAAATTCATTATCATTTCTTAAATTAGCCAGGACTTCCATCATTCAACATTGTCCTTTGAACAAAGTCCCCTTTAATCGAGGCTTGACTCTTTTTCTTCTAAAGTTCCACATTTTCTTCTAAGTCCTTTGTTCGACATTTGAGAATTTACCAATCTCAAACATTTTTGTTGATATTAAGATTCTAAACCTCGATTTTAATATCTAATAACCTTTTAATTCTAATAGAGGTAAATGGAAATGAACATATGAAACATATTTTAATCTAATTTTCTTGCGAAGTATTCAACTATGCATCTTTCGTGTAACTATGCCCAAGTAAAAATGCTACTTCTCTACACAACAATTTTAACTTCTCATCAGCCTCTCTCTCTGCTAATCAATCTCAGCATGAACATAGTCAATGAACACAAAATTCTTTTGAAGTTCAAAGAGAGCGTAAGCCAAACCGGCGCTTGTGAGTGCAAGAGCGGCGAGAAGAATACGCATCTGCAAAGCAGAAGGGATGCCGGCTGTGGCTGCAAACACTACTGTTGCTCCAATTAGCAGCTTTTGCAGTGTCTGAAATGTTTTATAAGCTCCTCTACATGATGAACAATGGAGTGTGTGTTGCTCAAATCTGTCCAGCATCTGTATTCGAAATATATATTAAGTGAGATAAATCAACCCATAAAAGTATAATTTCACCAACCCACACTTGCTTTCATTGCCTTTGCCTAAACGTGAGATCTCACGTCGGTTGAGGAAGAGAATGAAACAAGGGTGTGAAGGTGTGAAAACATCTGCTAACGGTGGTGTGAAGCCCAAAGAGGACAATATCTGCTAACGGTGGGTCTGGACTGTTACAAATGGTATTAGAGCCACACATCAGACGATGTGTCAGCGAGGCTGCGCTCCGAAGGGCGGTGGACACGAGGCAGTGTACCAGCAAGGACGTTGGGCTCCAAAGGGAGT